ATCTAGTGAATGTAAAGACTTAAAGTCATTGTCACTAAAGTGTAACAATAGCAACTCTAGAGATTCAGCTTCTAGTTTCAGGTAAATGTTTTATGTGTATGCTTATACGTGTATAGGTCCCATTGTTATTGAAATGTATTGTCATTGCTTCTAGCTAAAATACTTTTCAGGTGCTCGTAGTTTTGTTTTGATTTTGCTTTTAATTTTAAAACTTTATTGGGTTTCTGTGTGCAGATGAATTACTTAAATGCCCAGGTAGGAATGCTTGAGCTCTGTGTGGGGGAGAGGGAACCCAAGATTCCCTTTGAATAAAAGGACCATGATAAAGGTCCAGTGCTGCACTGTTTCTGAAAAGCGTTCCTGCTACATACCCGTAGGTTTGCATAGGAAAATGGGAAGTCTGCCCATTTTACTGACAAAATGTTGGTACCTAATGAGGTGTTTGAGTCTCTCCTTTTCACTGCTCAGCTGAAAATGAGGGACAGTTGAATGACAGACCCTTCTCCCAAGGGATGATCCTTAATTCTTTATTTAAAAAAAAAATAGCACTTGAAAAGATAATTTTATTCTTATTCTGGATCAAAACTGTATTTGTCAATGGAATTACTACAAATGCCACCCTTATTTAAAGTGCTGAGCTCTGCAGGATACTTGGTCTGTCATTGAGTTCTGCTGGTAGAAGCTGCTTTATATGTTATTAAATATAACTTAGAATTCTGTAGGAGACCAGGAGAGGATCTGGAAAGCAGGGACACAGAGTGAGCAGCTTGACAGGATTGTGCAGGTGAGACAGCTTGACTCTCTGTAGGAGGATGTGCCAAAACGTGTCCCTTTCATTGAAGCGTCTTATTGTACTCTGCATTTGCTTGGTCTGTGTAGTGTATTACTGTTCTGGTATGTGATATGAGGCTGTGTTTAAGCCTTTATTATTAAACTCTTATAGCTCTTGTGGGACAAATGGTTTGTGGTTTCTCAGGACCACTTCCAAAGCAGCATGCAATCTTTTTTACTGATTTCCTCCCCCCTAACTTCCCCCAGGGAAGGTGGTTTATTGCTAAAGTCTGTATTTTTTTTTTAATCAGGATAAGAGGAATTATTAGTTCAGTTTGTTTGGTTTATGGTGTGAATAGACAAGTATCTGCAAATCCTTGTAGTGAGAATCCATAAAAGACAAAAAAGACTTTTCAGAGGGACTTACTATAGAAGTCTTAATTGCAGTTCTGAAACAGCACATAGGTAAGAGGGCCTACAGATGAAGTTTGGCCCTTCAGGACTTAAACTTGCTCTTCTGAGTGCTGCCACTTATTTTCACATTGTATTYTGCACCGTCGTTGTCCTCAGTGAGTAAAGCAAAGCCGGGACAGTATTTGTGTGGGAATTTGTGTAGGACAGTGTGGGAAAGTCCTAGTGCTTGGTCTTAGGTGAGTTGGGGAAGCCCACATGGGCAGCAGGGATTTAGGAGCTGGTCCTGCGCAGGTTGGTAGTTAAGCAGCCACGCGTGGTGTGAAGTGCTGACCCCGCGCTGCTCGCGGCTCTGCCTGGAGCACAGAGCTTCAGCTGGAACCATCTCAGATTTGCAGGATTTACTACCTCGGAACAGAATCCAGGTGTATTCCTTAAAAGCAAGTTCAGTTGCACATTGTATTTGGAGCCTGTTGGAGCAGAGTGAGTTGATTCCCAGAGCATCAGTGAGTCTGTGCACGACACGTGTTGTGGAGCTCCTGGTACCCGAACAGAACTGGATATTTGCCTTTATTCTACGCTAGTGAGCTCCCCTAGGCTGGGCTCTAGTACCACTGCTCTGTGCTCCACAGTGACTGTGGGAGGATGAATTTGGGTTGCTCTTCTTAGACTTGTTGGTTCAACTTCTGGTGCTGGTGAAGTCTTGGAAGTGTTTACAGCAGGCACCGAGTGCCTTTTCACCGAGTGCTTGTGCCGTCCTTACCTCTTCTGATGGTTTGAATCAGCGCAGAGCTACCTTTGGGCTGTGCTGTCTCTTGATTTCCTTCTCATTTATACTGCTGCAGGCGCTGCAGACCTGCCTGTAGCTAACGTGGAAGCAGATRTGCGAGGCTGGCACCGTGCTGTGTGCCACCCGGAGCTGGCAGCCTGCCCGGTGTCACGGGGCGCCCGCTGTGCGGGGCTGCCCTCCGCTTAGGAGGGTGGAAGGAAAAATACTCGAGCTCCTCTAAGAAAGGAGGTAGCTGAAACATTAGGAAGGTGCCCCTCGGACTAGCATCTCTTGGCACTTAAAGCAAGGGGATGGGTTTTGCGTTGTGTCTTATTAAGTTTTATTTGCCTGTAAAAGATGAGCAAGAGAGACCTGGAAACAGGAACCGGGGATGGGGAAGGGCACGGCACGCGGTCTGAGCACGCACTTGGCTCTGAAGCACAGTCTAGAAACCAGGAGGATTTAGAACTGAGTAGTGGCTGGAAGGAGTTTGTAGCTAGAAGCAAACTAGCTGTCTTCAAAGAAACAGGACTTGATATCTTTGCTAATAAATCAAGTTTGCACCAGGGAAATGCCTATCTCCGTGAAATTCCCAACAAAATAGCTAGTTGCATTGAGCTTGGCTGAATGTGAATAGCTGTTTGGGTGGGAAAAGGTTAACATGTGATAGTCACCTTCTCAGCCTTCCCCGCCTTTTACAGCTTAATGCCAGAAATAAACACAGTGTTTTAAAACAGGTCTGTGAAATCACTTGCCCAGGGAGGGGAATTTATTGTAAAACAGGTTAGTCTTAGGGAATTTGCTGTTGAAGTTGTGAAACTAACGGTCTCATGGAGAAGGGAAGTCGCATGCTGCCTATGCCTGTAACTTTTCTTGGTTTGGGGAGGAAGATAATGTTATATCCTCAACTAAGGGACTGAAACATTATACGATTGTTGCAGGCTGCAGTAACGGTGTTAATTTGGTGATTGCAATTCTTTTCAGCCGTTCTTAGACAGGTCCTAATATTCAATGCCCAGYGTTTGAACGGGAGACGTACTGGGAAAAACGAATGCTTAAATCTGGCATAAACTATAAAGCAATGCTTTGTGCTGATAAAAGTCTCAATGGTTTTTTTGAAAGTAGAACCCCACAGAGGTTGTTCAGAATTAATTGATGGCAGACGAATTTAACATGGTTAAAATGAATTAAGCCCCTTGATATTTAGAATAACATAAAGATGTCTGAATTGTGCTCCCCAAAGAGGAAATACAGTTGTTAAGTCCAGATGGATTTTTATTTTTATTGGAATAAAATTTTGAGGCTATAATCTTTAAAAAGAAATATAACTACCACCGTGTTGTATATGAGATGGAACAGACTTACCTTAAAAAAAAATTTTAAATCCCATTAAATGAACAGTTTTGCCGTGTTTATTTCCAAAATTCGCTCTTCCTTTTTGAATTTGTAAGATTGGGAAATAAGCACAAGGTGCAATATAGACACCCCAAGGGGTCAGATCTGTTGTCAAATTACAGTCAGCTGGGACGTGGTAACTGTGACCGCGATGGTACCTGGCCCAAACGCAGGGTGACGCAGCTGGAGTTCTCACCTGGGCCCGCTCGGTCCGGTGGCCATGGGACCTTGTGCTACGAGCCTGCAGCCAGGCAGCTGCTGGGGCAAATGGGTCTCTGCTTAGGCCTGAAAGCAAGGAAAAGCTTTCGTGAATTCTTTCACTCTTCCAAGGAATTCTGCCCAAGAGAAGGGGCAGTTCTGCAGCTATGTCAGTATAAAGCTTCTCTTTGCATAGAAATCTTCATTGTGTCATGTTACTTTGCTTTTYCCTGTGTTTTGTCCATCGGAAAGTTATTTCCAGTTCTAAGCTCCTCTGGTTGTGGAGTTCAATAGTCTCCRTTTCAGTTTGGAAAGGGGATCAAAATGAGCAGCTAACTATGAGACAAGTAATTSTTGGTTTGTCTCAAGTAAAAACAAATCTGGAAAAAACACGGAGAAATTGAGACTCTTTTAACGTGTAGCAGCTCTGCTGGGAAAAGAATATGAAATCCTCATTCCAGTGTATAGGTTGAGAGCTGTATATAATGAGTAACATGAATGACTAATCATGGGATCTGAATGACTTTGGACCAGGTGAAAGCAAAGAATATTACTACAGCTATGAAAGTGGGCTCCRCTGGAATGGACTCTAAGTCTTGGGTGGTGGGTGATGAACAAAAGCTGTTGCTGTGGCCATAGCTCAAAGGGCTGATGCCATCCTTGGAGTGTAAAATAAAAAGTTATTGAGCAGAAAGCTTCACTTTGACTGAYCCTTGGGACGCCTGCTGCTTATCGCAAAGATGAGGAATATCAATAAAGAGAAATGCATTCAGATGGGGAGCACTGGAGTGTTTGAGGTGGAAATCATGCCTGATGGTGAGAACATCACCAATGTTCAACATGGCCWACATACTTGGCCTAGCAAACAGAATACCAGGGCAGGAGTGATATTAATAGGGGAATACCATAATRGGACAAGAAAATGATAATAAACTTGATAAAGAGCTTTCTAGTCTAGCAGATGAGCAGATTATAATTCAATTTTGGTAACGCAATACCAACCTTGTTTGAAAATATTTTCATTTTACATCTAAGCAAATAGTAGCTACTTCATTGAGTAATCACGCTGTGTGTCTCCAGCGTATTGCAGTGCTCTGCATTTGTTAGATGCTTACTGTTTGATTGCYGAAGAAGCTGCTCTCTTGCCTGGTGGAACATGGCACGAGGGATTATTTCAGTAAATTGAAAGGGAATGTAGAGCACTGCAAGAAACCCCTCCAAGTGACTAGTCACTTCTGTGCGTTGTAACGACCATGGGGTGTTGCTCAGCCCAGCTTTTGGGGGGCAAGTACGAGGACTTGCAGTCCTGCCCTTCCCGCCCCTCTGGGGTTCACCATTTCTGCACCAGTAGCACTAAAATTACCTGCAAATTTGGGCTAATTTATTTATTTGTGCGCTACAGCAAGAAATAGCGTTAAGAAAAAGGGGACAATGAACTTGTACTCTTGTGTTACAGATTCAGTGGTTCTTTCCTTTGACTCCGTTGGACATACGATAGGCTCAGGTACAACATTGCCTTCTCCTCCTCTCTCTCCCACCTCCTGAAAAGGCTTCTGCGTAGCTGGACATGGTAGCCATGTTGGGAGGCAGGTAACTGAGTCGCACATCTGGCAATAAACTGAACAACTGGGCCCTTTGTTAAGGGCAGGCAAGTAGGAAGGGTCTTAATGTGACACAAAGACTAAAATTTGAGACCCCTTCCACTAGTCAGTCTGGTGGCCTGCACCCACTGCGTGGGCTAGGGGCACAGCCCATGTTTCTTGTCTCATGTGAAAAGCATTAAGATGATGTCAGCCACCAACTGAGGAAAAACTGTTCCATACTACTAGGAGAGTTTCTCAGCTAAACAAACAGTTGAGTTATTTGAGGAAAGACATCAGGAATGCTTCCAGGAAGAAGAAGGCGAAAGATCTATAGCTAAACAAATAGGGCTGGAAACTCGCTTTTTGTGGAGGTTAACCGGCGTTATTGAACCCCAGGGCAAAGCCGGCCTGACCATATTTCCTTTGGAACCTGAGCACTACCTTGAGTTCTATTGAATCAAAAATCAAAAGTTCTTTTGTGCTCGAGGCACTTCATGAAACCAGTAACTATCCATGTGGCTGTCTGTAATACATGGGCTGTAGCCAAGGCATATCCTGTAACAAGCACAATAGTGGATAAAACGCAGTTCGTAGGATGCGTGCAATGATATGTGGGGCGCCAGGAAGAGGCTACGAATTGCTTTTAAAACTGAAAGTCCTCTAGCACTTAGATTTCTCTTATCAGAAAATCCAAGTGAAGATTTTTTTAAAACCTTGTTTGCTAGTCTGACCTCTTAGTTTCATGGGGAGTTTGCTGCCTTCCAACATAGCACCTGTCTGCTGCCTGCACAGTACCAAAGAGCCCCTGCTGCCTGACACTAACAGTGAAGCCTCAACCCACTCCTGATGTACTAATCTTAGAGCTAGTAGTAGCAACCTGCTTTATGTACAGCATCCCCAAATGCTTTCTGCTGTCCAAACGTTAGTCTCTCAAACCTGCAAACTGCTCTGTTGTGGGTGCACGGTCCGATGGGGGAGTGACTTAGAGTGCTGACCGCGGAATGGGCAGCGCTTTGGTCGGGGGAAGAGAACCTCTCTTAACTCCCTTCCTAATACTGGATGTCAGTCTTATGAAAGGGAGTTGTCATCTGCCCCCTTCCCTACTATGTAGGGGTTTCTTTAGTCTTCAGAAGTAACAAGGGAGTTGCATAGGTCTGAAATACAAAACCTGTAAATAAAATTCAGAGGAATATTTTACTCTGATCACAGGTGAGTAAGCCTGAATTGGTTTATCCTCACTGCTGGATTCATGTTGGTGCAGCAAAGACCACAATCTGATCCAAAGTGAAACTTTTAAATATTATCTACTTTTTTTCCTCATATTTGTTTGCCTGCAAGTTAATTCAAAGACAAAATTACCCTTAGCAATAGCTAAGACTAGGGTTTCTATGGAGTTGGCCACAAATATTGTGTCATGATGCTACTAATAGGATAGTTAAATTACTTATGAAACATAAATTGAATTGATAGTGTCTTTTGGAGTACTGTTAATATGGAAGGTGGGAGACAAAGCTAATGTAAGCAGACTGTCTGGGTCTGTTTTAAAAACATTGGTCTTTGCCCTGCTTTGCTTATACATTACAACTCAAGTTTGAATTTGTTACRAGAAAGAGAGTAAAATTTAACCTCTAGTACACCATTTCACTGCAAAAAGATTGAGTTCTTCACTAAAGAGATAGGAGGGAAAGGAGGTTAAAAATGTTTGAAAGAGCTGTGTTTACTGCCTTCATATTTAGTACTTTATATTAACTTTGTTAGAAACTTAAGCTTGCTCTAAACTAATATGTATAATAAGATGTGAAGATGTGTGGTGTCTATCCAACTGAGGGATAGCTTTCCTTGTTGAACAGGAAGGAGAGAGAGAAAAACTGTGGCTCTTGTGGTCCCGCTGTCCGTCCCACCTCACCTTGCTGCAGACCCAGGAAAAGAGAGAGCCCAGAAAGAACTCAAAGAAACAATGGCAGCTCCAGGCCCGGCCATTCCTAGTAGGTGATGTTTTAGGTCGGGGTAAGAAGGGGTGAAAACAACATCCTTTACAACAACAAAATCATAAACCTTTGTGTTAGAATTGAACAGCTACGGATAATGGTGTCCCTGCTAAGATTTCATGCTGTTTTAAACTAGCACACACTGACTTTTATCTGAATACTGAACAACACCTCAGAGCTGATCTTTGAGAATCGTACCGTGTAAAGAGCAATGTCTTGTCAAAGCTTCTGTATTTTCATGTTTTCTCTGAATTCACTGTGGATTTCCATCTGAGTTGTCACCTTCCCTCTTTCTCCCACGTACGGTTCTCAGTTGTCAGAGATGCCTGAAATCTGTCCTGATGCATCTCGGATTCATCACKCTTTTTAGGTGACTCTGGGTAAAACTTTCCAAACTAGGTGTCTGGAAAATCGTCTAGCTGTTGAGCTTAACTGCTGGTTCATAGATGAACACATGGCAAAAAAAATATGCTTGGAGCGAGACTGAATTGTCTGAATTTCATGCTGTGGTCTAGACTTCATGAGACCACATTTTTGTGATCCATTTCTCAACTGCCACTTCCTTGGAAAGATAAAGTTTGAGCAGCACAAATGAGTGTTTCATGTGCTGTTTGTGCTAGTGTTTCAGCTGAAACTAGTTCAGAAAGGATGGTGGCGTGCTCTGAACTGAGAAGACATTAAGCAGGACACAGAGGGGGTTTGAGTAGACTAGATTTCATTTGTTTGCCATAGACAGCTTGTACTCTCTATTTCTTCCCTCTTCCCCTATTACTTTACTTTCTTGATGGCAAATCAAATACTCGACCTCCACAGTCAAAGATATAACCTTGCTATTTTTGTTGAAGACTTTTTTTTTTTTCTATCTCCCTTGTTTGAGAGCAAGTAAGTCTTTATTTTTGTTATTTTTGTGTTTGTTTTCTCTTCTCAGAACCTCATTAGGATAAAAGTGCCCCAAAGGTAAAACTTCCTAATCTGCTAATCTGCTTCCTGTAAATACTAGGATTTTGGAATATATAGCAGTATAGCAGTTTTTCTCGCTGTCAGTGCAGCTTGAATGATTCTCTTGCCATGCAAAAACTTTTGCTCAAGCTGTTTGAGTATTTTCATTTGCTTGTTGTTGGTTATTCATTTATTTATTCCAATTTTATTCTTAACCCTTGACTAGCTTGACTTATGCAAAGAAATTTTTTTTTTTTTAAGAATCTCATTTAGAGCAACATATCTAGTGAAGCTAATGTGCTAGTGAAAAGTCCTTGTGGAAATGAGGCTCACTTTCTTGTGAAACTCCACRTGAAAGGCCATGCTTTCGGATGCTAAACTTAGAATGATGGTCTGTTAATCAGTTGAGATTTTAAGTTTGTTCTTATTTAATAGTGTGTTGTTTGTTGTGATCCCTTCTGCTGAAGTTCTGAGCTTTTTCTTTGGGGAAATTATTTTTAGAAGGTTTCTGGCTGTCTTAACAGTACGTGGTCAGGGTGGGCGCTTTCTCCCCTCCCCGTCCTTATTCCTTCCAAGTAGAGAATACATGTAAAATGTCGTGCTTTTCCCACTCATTCTAGCGATTTTATTCTGCAGAAAAAATCTCCTTTTTCATTTTTGATTAATGAAGCTCTACTTCGTTCTTTATTTTTTTGACTTGTAGACTGTGGGAGCTGCTTGAATCTTTGCCAGTTATGGTCATGYATTGATTGCATAGTCCTCACTTGACTTTGCCAGTGTGTTCTGTATCATCATCTATCTTCCTCTCGTCTGTGCCCTAGACTTCCAATTGAAAATACAGCTGTGAAGCAGTCCATGTGCACATGCCAAGAGGAGGACTAAGGAATACCTTGAAGTAAAAGTATTTTAATGGGATTTTTCTGTACTGTGTGGCATCTCTCCACATCAAGGCAGTACGTCCTGTAGGTCGCTAAAAGCCAATGTAGATTACCATTTTGTTAATATTGTTCTTGACTTTTATTAGGAAACGTGATACATTTTCTAAAATAAGATTCTCTTGGAAGACTCAGTAGGTCAGTTTTGGCTCCATTAGCCAACTGAATACATGACTGTAAAAGAAATAACTGTGTATTTAGCAAAATTGCAGACTGGCTTTAAACAGATGACTCCTTGGGAGGGGAGAAAAAAAARGGGGCATACTCAGTTCATAAGAGGAAATTTTTCACCCTCCTATTGGAGCCTTGGAGCCCTTCATAAATCTGGCTTAAAGCATTTGGTTCCTTTTCTATCCGTGGAGGTTGCTATAGTTTTATTATGAAAAATATTTCAAGATTTGTACAGTCTTTGTCAAGGTAACCAGAGCCTTTCAAAATGCAATACACTAGAATGACCTCTTTTTGTTTTATTTTACCTATTTTGGAGGTAAGACAAGCAGGCAGGAGACCTTCCTGATGGATGACCTCGTACAGCACTATCAGCAAGTGATTGCTTATTTGTTCTTCCTGTGCCTGGGGAATGAAAAATGTAGTTGCAGTGTCTAATGAAGGAGCCCTCTCTGGTGTATTGCTTTCTACAGGCTGTAAAGCCAGGCCAGATGTCTTTGGAGGCCCTAATCAAGAATTACAGGGTAAAGAAAACGAAGGTATAGAGCTGGGAAGTTATTTCCTTTTGCTGCTAAATCTGAAGCACTGAGKAGAATCCTCATGATTTCGAGTGTCACCAGGGCATGCATAGGTTTGTGACTGGACTGACTCCCTCTGCCATTAACCCACAGATTTGAATTTCAGTCTTAATAGATGTGAAATTCCAAATTTTGCTACCTATGTTGAATTGCTCTACTACTTCCAATAGAGTTTCTTTTCTCTCTCTTTTTTATTTTTTTCTCCTCTGTTTAGCATATTGTCAAATTTTAACTGCTCAAGCTGAAATGTTCTGTGCTGGAGTCAGCCTGTTTCGTATTTCTGATGTTGTCGTAAAATTTGAAAGTTATTTTTTTTTCTAAGGGGGGGAAATAAGGAAAAAAAAAGTTGTTTTGGCAACATTTTAAAAGCATTTTATCTCTTCTAAAATGTTCTTTACATGTTTTCATACTGGATCTCTAGGTGGAAGAAGGAATAGCATCAAGTAAGTTCCTGGGGAAATGAGAAACATAATCTTGACTGTTTTAAGCCTTTGAAAAAATTTCATTTTTGACACACATTGTTGGTAATTAAAATGCCCCGATAGCTCTACAGCAAGTTGGGTGGCTAGGCATGACCTAGGGCTGGGCTGCTAGGACTAAGCTGAGTTTCTGTTACATCTATGGAATCTGTTTGCTCCCTGTATTTTGGGGGCAGAGAGAGGTCCAAAGGCCTGGGCCCAGGACTAACACACTCAGGGATCTAACACACCCTGGCACCAGGTAGGCAGCCTGCAGGAAAAGCTGTTACACCTGTGTTCCAAAGAGGGAAATAGGAGCAAGGAGGAAAGGGGAACATTGATGGGAGAGAATGGGCAGTCTGAGCAGGCAGGCTGGGATGAGACTGGGGAGCCCAGGTGATCTCAGTGCTGCTATTCCTGATCTTGGCCTCACAATTATGATTTTTTTCTGCAGCTATTTAAATAGCTGTAGAAAATAGGTTTCATAGCTGTGTTCCTTCACCAAGTAGGTTAAASTGAGAATCTGAAGGAAGGGATGCAGCATAAATCCTTGTTTGTCTAGTACTTTCACTGCTGCTTTGTAGCCCTGAGCAGGATTTGCTTGAATGTGGAAGAAACCTTTTTCTTTTATCCTTTACAAGTGATCCGTTGCATGTGACTCTTTCGCTAACTCTTTCTCGTCTCTTGAGTTCTGATAGAGTTGCTTTAAATTGGCTGAACTTTCAAYGCAGTCCATGTGTGTTTTCCCAGTTCAAGGCGTATGCAAGGGGTTTGACCCTGTTTCATTGCAGGAGAAGTCATTTCACCCGGCCTTTGCCACAGACAGGGACCTTGCATGTGAACACTGACTGCATCCCTGCTCAGAGGCCTCCCTTCTGCAGAGACTGAGCTGCCCTGGACAGGATGAAATGTATCAGGGTGGTCTGAACTATTCCTGATAGGACTTCTGTCTCCCAAGTGTTATAATGATTTCTTTGGGCTAAACTAGTTAGAACTAAGCCTCTGCCTTGCCTCCTGTACTGCCTGTCTTGTGTTTCCCAATGAAATACAGAAAGAATTAGAGCTGYGGTATATTGCCCATCCTCTTAAAAAGTTGGAATACATTTTCAGGTTTTGTGGACAAAATTATTCGTATTGTGTTTCTGAGTAGCTAGATGTTAAGGAATTAGTGCTTGGATCATTGCTGAAATCACCTGTGAGTAATGTACTTAAAACAGAGCTCATGGTTGGAAGGCTAAAACTACTGAGCCAAYTTAATCCCTGAATTGTTGATTTCAGATTAATAAAATAGGCGGAGATTTTTTTTCCCCATTTTGTTTGTGTGTAACTATATGGCTGAAGATATAAAATACAATTTTAAAACTTGTGACTAATGCTGTACATTGTGTTTTGTGGTTGTCTGGGTGGTCTGTATGGAGTCTGTAGATCCTAGACCACGTATTTCTCATTTGCTGTCTGGTGGCTGGATTTCTTTTGGATGCTTGGAAGAAATTTTCATGTTTATGCCAACATTGAATTTGGCACAGACTCTGCATCATTTATAGAAATTGCTATGCTTGGCTGTACTTCTGTTTGTATAATCATCATTACATGCTTTATTATGAAATTATTGTCAGTTACTAGGTTCTTATGCAATTCTGATCTTCCCTGAAATGTAGAAATACATCATGTTTTTGACCTGTGGAKACCTCTTGGTCTTAAAGAGCATGGTGGAATTAATTTCCCATGTTCTTCTGGTGCGGTGCTTCTGTATATACTACTCTGCCACTTTGTCAGCTGAGCCTGTAGCTTCTTGTGCCTTGTAAGGTGAGGCAGCAGCAATGCAGTTGTGTCCAGAAGTCCCTGCAAGCATGARGTGTCCGACAGTGAGGATGGGGTTCCTTTACCTGCAGGAGTTTGTGTAGGCTTCACCAGCAGGTCATATGTGTGTGACACCTGCAAGGTCACCGTCACAGTGATGGAGGGGTGACAGTCCAGGGTGTGTTTTCTGGTGCTTTGGTTGCAGTAAAATGCTGGTGGGTAGGAAGCCCAGGATGCTGCTCTGTAGTTACGAGGCGAGGTCTCTTGTATTGCATCTCTTCTTGTATGGACTCTTGGGAAGTAGGATAAGTTAGTTGGAGTGGAATTAGGATGATGACAGATTGGTCAATGATTGTAGCTTTTATTTTTTATTTATTTTTTTCTTTCTATGTTGCTCTTTGTTCAGGATGGATATTTTAGGAAGAGATTAATAAAAGTTCCAGCATACATTTGCCCTGAATGAATATCTTCGCATGTAGGACAGAAGGGTGACCAGAGTGCCTTGTCATGGCAGTAGGAGAGAAGAGCCTGGTCAACGTGCAGCAGAAGCCCCTGTGTCGTGGTGGACAAGCAAGAGAAAGGAGTGGCTTTAGTTTTTGCTGTGCATCTTATGTGACTTCAGAGCTTTGTTTTTTGCATAGAATGTTTGATTTATGAGATTACAATGTATTCAGAGATACTTACGCAGGAGTTCACTGTGAATTCACTGRGAATACCTGTAACTCTTCTGTCTGTCTCTAAGTAACACAAACTCAAACTTTATCGTTTCCTTTTGAATGCCACCGTAAGCAATACTCGATCACAAAGTAGTGAGTTGGAGTAGACTGAGTCAAGAGTTCAAAAGCTCTGCCATTGCAGGAACTAGGAGGAGTCTTGCTTGTACAGATTACTGGCAAAATGATTTTGACTGCAAGCAGAAAAACTTTGTATGCAGTTGCATGTCATATTTCAGTGGTAGCCTTGTTTACAAATGGCCCACACATCCTGGACACTCAGAAATGGACACTCAGAAATAAGAATTTGGTAATACCTTTGACAATCTATGATAACAGCTGCTCACAATTGAAATTGATGATGCAGCTATTTTTAGTAAGAAGTATTTCTTGCCCTTCTATAAGAGTGTTCTGCATTTTGCTTCTGGTACCATTTGCAGAGGAGACATTTGCAGTTTTTATGATATTATGTCCCTTGCTTTTGTTTTCCAGAATATGACAAACTGGGCTTTCTCCTGAACCTGGACTCAAAATTGTAAGTAAAACGGTAGGACTTGTCTTTGTTTCTATATTCACAGATTTCTGCTGCAAACAACTTGTCATTTGGACACTGTTTTTGGATGGCTTCCTGGACCATGTACTCCTACGTGGAACAACCAAGATCTGGGACAGTATTACAGCTTCTTACTTGCTAGGCTCAGCTGCCTTGGATTGTGACAGTAATAGCCTCTTGATCAATCATTAAGGAATTAATGACCACCTAAAGCCATATCTCTCTCTCTCTGCCCTAGATATCCTACTGTTGATCTTCCAAATGAGGAAAAAAATTATTAAGAATTTGAAAGCAGTAGAAATATGAGTTTGCAGTTCATTGAAGTGTTAGGAGTTCATGATTCCTTTACACTTGGTTGTTTAGAAATTGATAGGATTACTTTTRTTTGTAAGTTAGAGTGCAAAGGACCTCAAAGTCAGGTAACAGGAACGACCACTTGCTATGTAGCAAAAAAGAGTGCAGAAAGTTGGTATCCAACATGAAAGACTCTTCTGCTTTTTACCATAATTGGTCAAATTGAGACTGAACTTGTAGACACTAGAGGTCACTAGTTACTCTATTTCTGAGGTCAAGAGACACAGCAAAATTTTGGTATTAGAAGGCCTGCTAGAAGTCTTTTGCCTCTGCTACTTAAGCAAGACACTGAAGTGCTCCAGTGGCCTTGAATGGCTTGAGTTTGCATGCACTGTACAATGTTTCACATTAATATAAAAACCGTGCTTGATATTTTAGGTAGTTTCGTTGTATTTATTGGGTGCAATATTAAAATTTTAAATTCAATCTTGCTAAACAGCTTGAAAATATTCACAGTGGAATAAAAGCCTTATATGAGTGCTAGGGATTGTAGTGGGCAGTGAATGAGAGGGCCTCTAGGTAGGTAGGTCCATCTTTTATTGAATAAAGAGGGTACATATTTTACTGCAGTTGAGTTTAATAGGGAAAAAATGTGGAATGTTCATGTCCAAGAAAAAGAGAATATTGAGTTTTCTAAAGGATCAGTACCTCGGTGTGCAGGAAGAATGGTGTTTAGCTGGTCAATGTGTCTTCTCTTATTTATTGTATTGACTGAGAGTTGTTTGCTGTTTGCAACTTGTGCTGGTCGCAGAACTACCTATTTCTTTGGAGTTTTCGGTATCGTGGCATCCTTGGGAACTACAGACAGAAGTGTATTCATTTTTACCACACCATGGGATAAAATGATGTATTCTCTTCAATTTTATGCGTGTGGAAGCCAAAGCCAAGAGATTATGATAAGACTGTGGAGATCTGTTTTAAATTACTGTCTTGGGGTGTAAGTAGGGGAAAAAGTTTTAGTTTTTTCAGCAGAATAATTTTCTTTCATGCTACTTAACTCATAATGCTGGTAGTTTTACAACACAGACACCTCTTGGCTGCCCATGTTTGGCATTTCTGAAACCAGTAGGTCTTCTCTAAGCCACTGCTTCAGCCTTGCTCTCCCTCTTCCTCCTGTGTTCATTGTCCTTTCCTCTGTTACTCATAGGAGGTTCTACTGAATCTTCCTTTTCATTATGCCTGTGCTACATCCCTTTTCTCTCCTTCACTGTCTTTATGCTGTCTTTATCTATTTAGATTATAGCTCTTCGAGACATGGTCTGTTCCTCCTCATAGTTTAGTACAAGACCCAATGAACAACTTCTTGGAAGGCTTCCAAAACCCTAAAAATACCTTTTCCTTAAAAACTCTGCATGACTAAAAACTTCATTTTTATTAAAAATGGTATTATATTTTCTTTGTTAACTATTTAAAAGTGTAAAGGTATTTAAAAGTTGTATTATACTCTGAAAGTACATGTTTTCTTCAAAAGCAAATCGCCCGTGAAGTTAGCTTCTGAAAAGGCTTTTAACCTAAACCAGCATGCTTAAAATAAATGCAAGAGGTTAGGTTAAGGAACAAAGAAAAGAAGTATTGCATGGGTAAAAACATGCTGTTTGTTTGCTTTTTACTATAATTATCCGTTGGTTTTAAGTTGTGTGTGTGTGTGTTATTTTTTTTTTAGTAAAACATTGGTTCTGCTATTGGAGAAGGGACCTTCAGAAAGAATGACCTTCAGAAAAYCCTTCCAGGCTGAATTATGCTATGATTTTTTTTTTCACTAGCAAAAAGAGCCAAGGGAGAGGTGAAAATGTCATTAAAAATACTAAATAAAGATTATTTAGAAAGAACGATGGATGACATATGAATCCTAGATGATTCTGTTGATGTTCTACAAGCTTACCATGTGTTCAGGATACCAAATACATTTCCTAAGTACATACTGTGAATTCAGTAGAAGCTAATCATTGAAATTCAGATTACTTTCTGTGACACTGAATCAAGATGGTACCATCGTGGAAGCACTTTCTGCTTTTTAAAAAAGAAAACCTGCCCGGAGAGTTAAAAAGGGTAATATGTTCTGCACTGAGGACTTAGTTGGCAGAAATAATTTCATTACGTCTGTTGTTTTGATGTAATCGTTCTAGTGGAATTTTGCCACAGATGATAACTCTATAGAGCTCACTTAATTGACAGCATGTGAGAATCTTATGCGACTTGGAGCAACAATTAGATTTTTGCTTTTTATTTTTTTTCTTAATCTTTTGTTTCTTCAAAATCTGTTCCTTACTGTTAGTTSATATAATTTGCAGTAATGACTTGGAGGATTTACAATATTTTTTTAACAAAGGTAGATCTGTGGTAAAACTTAAATGATCTGACTTGCATTTTAAGTGACATCATGCAAAAGAAATTATTTAGTCTGAATAAATAGCGGTATGTCCCTTTGCATCTTTATTTTTTCATCCATATTGCTTCTGCAGTTCCCACCCTGTAGGTGTYCAGCACATATTATTTGCATGCAATACACTCTGTTACAATTGCAGCAGATTGCAGCAGTTTAATGACTCTGTTCAGTGGTGCTTGTGCTTTTGGCGTGACAGTAAGGGAACTAATTTGTTTCCTTCCGAATGGAAATCTATCAAAAGTCCTTGAGAAGTGTTTTCTTTGAGAATTGTGCCTCACTGCACCAGTGGGGAGGTTGCTATTGCCATGGATTTCACCTGGAAAGGTATGGAAAATGTTTACACTACTGTACTAGAGTTTTGTGGAAATAACTGAAAAGCTGGAAAATATCCAAGTAGGGACTGTTCATGTACTAAAATAGGGCGTGAATGGTACACTCAGGGCATCTAAAGATAACACAGTTTCTGTATTAATTGTTTTCAGTCTTAATAAAGAAATGAGGATCTTTGAGAGCAGATCAAAATCTGCTACAAGAGGAGCTTATTTCTTAGTGGTCTTTGTACCAATCATAACATAATTATGGAAATCAAAATGTTAAAACAAAATATGCCTGAAATRTATAAACAGGTAGCTGAATCAGTTTCTCTTAAGTTTTCCATACAACAGAGCCCTATACCACTTAAAAAGCTGTTAGAATCAAATATGGCACTTACTGGCTGTGTAGACAAATGCCCTGATACCAAAAATATGATACCATTCACAGGTCTAAAACCCTCGTGGGGCCCATAGTTCCTGAAGAATTTAAAGCTATCAGTCACATTAGTGATTCAGCCAGCAGATTACTAGGTGCCACCAAGTGCCAACATTTGCGGTTGCTTTCCAACATCCGTGCTTGGCAAGTGTTGCATGCTTTTATTATTATTAAATATTTATATTGTAGTAGTTCTCTCAGGCTGGCTGGGTCCTAGAAATAGGTCTCATTCACTACAAATCCTGAGTCATTTTCTGAGTAGAAATTATTGGAATTGAATGAAATGAGAATTTTGCAAGAGSATCAGCACGTGATCATTATATCATTAATTAGATGCTGTGGCTTTAATGCACATGTATTGAGGTCCGAGTGAAGGGTGCATGGTCATTCTTTATTCTGTCCCTTACTAATTTAGGAATGCTTGATGTAGTGACCTTGATGGTTATTTTGGGTCTATGTTAGCACTTGACAAATATAATTGTTGTACATGTCAAAAGCTCTTATTTCTAATACCCTGTGATATGGGGCTGTCCTGCTGCATTGCTGCCTTTATGTGATCTGCCCTCCTGCTGCCCACGTGCCCTTTTACTTGGTGAGGGGCAAACTAGCAACTGCTCAAACTGCTGCTCTCCTCTTTTCACACTCATCCAAGAACTGTTTTCAAAGATATTTCTGTGATTAGCTTTGCAATTTGATGCTTTTAAACACCAGCAGGAAAAAYGTCCGCTTGTCAGGCAGGATGACGTTTCTCTTTCCCTGCTTCTGCAGCTAAGATTTTTAACGKTCAGATTTAGAGTTGCCTGCTGAATGAGTGATGGAGGAGTGACTTGGTTTGTCTGGGGTTGAAGCTCTCACTTGAGCTTATGGGCAGCATTYGATACGCTGGAGATAAGTTTTTCTCTAATCAGTATTATAATATGGTATTATGAGTATTTTTTCCATAGGTAAAAACACAAGTTTTTTTTTTCTTTAAAAAACAAACAAACAAACAAAAAACCCAAAAAAACAACCTGTTACCTTTCCCAATGTGAAATATTAACTACTAGATTACTATGGTTGACTATGCTAGCCTAATACTAAAATAACAAATGTATATTGTGCAAATGTAGTAAGTATGGAATATTCTTTTTACGGTCATCTTTGCTAGACATTTATTTAGTAGATAAGGGAGATGCAACAAAGGTTTTGAATATTCATGATTTCAAACTTCAAACTTTGCTTTCAGAATAACAGATGAAGACGCTGGGGTCTTGAGGAGGGGGAGAGGCAAAAAAGGAAAGCCAAAAATAACAGTCTTCACCCTGCAAACTCAAATGAAACTTGATCTGGACTTTGAGAAGACTGTAAAAATGGAAGGAGTTCGGGCTGGGGAGAAATGCACAGATTGGATTACTTCTGTTTGTTTAAATTTCTTCCCTTCAGAGCTCCAATAGTGAAGAACTGGAATGGAGACCCTTCCCCTCATTTTCTTTCGAGGGCGGGAGGTTGCTTT